TTGTCGATTCCACCACATTTGTAGATCAGGTGACCAGTAGTGGTGGACTTGCCTGAATCTACGTGTCCAATGACAACGATGTTGATATGAGTCTTTTCTTTTCCCATTCTGGCTTAGATATTGCGATGGTTTTCACCAACACCTAAATTGGAAGGAAAAAAAAAACTTCAAAATAACGATCCAAGCTGCTTGAAAATATGCCATGATCCAAACTCAAAGGTCAAATTCCAAGGAGAATTACAGTCAGAGCCAATCTGGTCTAACTCAAGTCTCCACCCACCAAATGTGGGCAAAAAAATTCCTCCCCCAACCTGAGAACCATATTCCAAAGGCTAAGAAAAGTCGTCCAGGTGCCAGGTTAGTGCCCAGTACACCGCGTGAAAGCCCTTTTCCTTTGTGTGACTCACCCGCCCGCTCTCCCTGGCCACCGCCGTCCTCCATTTTGAGCTCCCTGCAGCAAGGCCGGGGAGCGGCCATCTTTCCGCGCACGCAACTGGTGCCGCCTGGGGTTGGTTGTACACCGCGCCGCTAGGCCGGGCACCGAAGCCACCCAAGCCAACCTCCCAAACCTTTCCCCTTCTTCCGACTCCGTGGCCACGGCTCCTGGTTCCCGCCTCGCTTAGCCGAGGGCGCGCCAACCATGTGCGCGGGGACTAGCGGCCCGCCGCCGCCCTCGGTACTTCGCACCGGTCTCACAGCCTTAAGTACCGTATGACCAGCTGTATAAAGCCAGATCTCGTCGAAATATTGCCCAAAGGGACTCAATTATCGCGACGAAAAAGCCACAATCACTTATGTTTATTAAAGTTAAGTGGCCACTGACTCTGATAGAGATTAATCCGACAAGCGTGAAGGTGCGACCGGATTCGCAAGCGCGACAGCCACGGCGCCCAAGCCAGGCCTCAACCCAAGCACGAGGCGATGGGGTATCCAGAAAAAAAAACGTCAGGCCTCGAGCTTCCCCACCCTATTACAACCCCCAATTCGGGGCAAGAACTTCGTAAAGTTGATCGTACGAGGAGATAAAGGCACGCGAGAGCCGCAGCCCTCTCAAGGAGGCCAGGGCTACGGAAGTCACCCCGCTACTGACCTGCGTTCTGGCGGCAAACCCGTTGCGAAAAAGAACGTTTAGGGCGACTCCGGCCCTTATATATGGTTCTCCCCCACCCTCGGAAAAGGGGTGGAGCCAGAACACGACAGCACTTCCCAGTTTACCCCGCGCCACCTCCACCAGGCACCAGTTCAATTGCCGTCCCTTCCCCCACTTCCCAGGGACTGTGGGCGTTGAGCGCTCAGCCCGTGAATGGCACAGAGTATCGCGCGCATGCTCCTCTCGATCCGGTCGGTGACGAGAGCGAGTAGAGGGCGGGGACGCAAAGATCCGACGTTTCTAGGTTAGTAGGGATTTAACGACGGTCCCTGGGATTCCCAAAGACAGAGGCGAGTCTCCCTTTTGTAAGAATTATTCTCAGCTCAGGCGTAGGGTGGCGAGGAGGCAGCCAGGAGAGGACATTCAGAATCTTCCTAATGCTGCTGGCTTTACTGGAAAGGCGGTTTCAAGATTGGGGTTTTCCCTCACTCCACCAGCCCCCTACTATCCCAGCAGCAGTTTCCTCCGCTGGCTGCATCCTCGGCCTAGCCTGACCGCTCCCTTGTTGCTGCTCTCTGGGCTGGAGGGGGATCTAGGGCATACTTCCTCGCCCAAAGATCCATAAGGGGTTCAAGTCTGAGGCGGTACTTGTGATGAATCTGTTCCTGGATGCTCGGTCCTTTTGGCTCGTTTCATTCAAAGCCAGCTGCATTTATGGAAGCTTGTGTCCCGCATCTACCCCTTCCCGCCTTGGTACTCCGGACGTCCAGTTTTTCAGTTGAGAAAACTGTGTGTCAATACTGTAGTACATATAGATAAAGATATATAGATATATGTATTATCCACTGTACATTTGATTGCAAGTATGAGACATCTAAAAAGAATCTTTCAAATTCTGTCCACATGATCTCACGTAGAGACTAACGCCTAAAGGATAGGCAAGTTTATCCACCTAATTTCCTATTCTCAACACGTTATAAAATCACTGTTTCTCAAGTATGACCTATTTAAATAAATACCTTCATTTTTTGTTGTGCTGTTGGTTGTAACTGCATTTTAGCATAGATCAGGGGCATGATTGACTCTGAGGTCAGGCCCTGGGAAATGCTCTTTGGAGGAAATTCACTGCCGTTGAGTCGGATACGACTCATTGCGACCGGTCCTTGACTACGGAAGTAGATTGCCCTCACTGAGTAAAGAACCTTTATTTTTAATGAGGTAATTACTGGATCATTGTGTCTCATCTTCCAGGTGTAGAACATCACTGCCCAACTTCTCAAACCAACTTATTAACAAGTTTTTATTTGAAAATCTACTGTATGTCCAGAGCTCTGGTGATGTAGTGGTTAAGGTATTTGGCTGCTAATCAAAATGTCCTGGTTCTAACCCACCAGCTGCTCTTCGGAAGAAGCTAAGACAGTTTGCTTCCGTAAAGATTTACAGTCTTGGAAGCCCAATGGAGTCCGAATTGATTTGATGGCAACGAGTTTGGTTTGAGTTACTGTATGTCCAGCGCTAAATGAAACACTGTGGATTATGCAAAACAAATATTTCCTTCTGAAGAAGAGCCTGTAATCAAATGTTGTTGTGGTTATGTGCCCTGGAGTTGTTGTTATATGCCGTCGAGTCGGCCCCGACTCATAGCGACCCCTCCTTGGGTTTCCGAGGCAGTATCACTACGGAAGTAGGATTGCCCAACCTTCCTTCCGAGGAGTGGCTGGTGGGTTTGAACCGCCAGCCTTCTGGTTAGCAGTCAAGCGCCTTAGGCACTATGCTACCAGAGCTCCCTATCAAATATTTAGATACCTACAAAAAATAATGTTATTAAATATTGTGATATTTGCCTAGACTGTTTTGGGGGGGATCTCAAAATTCTTGTGCTTTCGACCCAATACCTTTGGGTGCACTGGGGCTATGCCTTGGAAGCGGACACTGGCCACAAATCTTTGTCACCTTACAGCTGTAGGTCCCGGCTGGAGACGGAGGCTCGCGCAGGACGGAAACTAGGTCCTGGGGAAGGCCATTCCTGCACAGCAAGACAGGCGCTGGCGCTCTTCCCCCGCCCCAGGGGGCGCGTTGCAGTCTTGTCCGGCCATCGGGTCAGGCCTGTCCACCGAGGACTCAGCTGGTGGCTCAGCCAGCCCGCTCTGGTCGCTGGAGTGCCGGACGCCCGGGTCGGCCCCCTGACACGCCCCGAGGTGGAAGTCAGTTTCTTCTGTTCTCCGACTGCTAAAAGAAGGGCCGAGTAGGAGGGAGAAAACTCCAGGTGTTCAGGGTGAGGGTCGGATTTAGTTGGACTGAAGCAAGTGTTACTATTTTAAAACAAAATACGTTTCTGCCAAGCCTCTATAAAATTTATGAACATGATCATAACGCATTCTCCCCCAACACATACTTTACAGAAGATACAGTATGCCTTTTACTATCTTAAAAGTTAAAACAATCATAGTAAGTAACATTGTTGCGACTTAAAAGGTTTAGGGGTCATAATCTAAGGTATTTTGCTTAAGAGTACTCTTAAACTTGTTCATACCATTTAGAATGGCAAACTTAAAAATACACTAATCAGTACGATCCCTTTTGGGAGCCTTACGGTGGTTAAAGCGCTCGGCTGCGAAATGAAAGTTTGGCAGTTCTGACCCCCAGCCGCGCCTCGGGAGAGAAAGCTGAGGCAGTCTGCTGCCAGAGAAATGTACCGCCTTGGAAACCCTATGAGACACTTCTACTCTGTCCTATAGGGGTGTTGTGAGGCCAACTCGACACCAAGGCTATGGGTTTGGTTTAGGTTTGTATGACTATTTTTTGGAAGGGGGAAAAAAAAGCGTGAGAGAGTTTTACTTATTTACTTTCTTGGTGAAAGCATGAAGAGTACTTTTGACTGCTAACCAGAAGGCTGGTGGTTCAAACCCACCAGCCACTCCTCGGAAGGAAGACTGGGCAATCTACTTCAGTAGTGATACTGCCTTGGCAACCCAAGGAGGGGTCGCTGTGAATCGGGGCCGACTCAATGGCATGTAACAACAACAAGAAGTGTATACGGCCGTACTTAGGAGATACTACAGATTCGCTGGCAGACCACCACAATAAAGCGAGTCACACAAATTTTTTGGTTTCCCAGTCCATATAAAAGTTACTACTATACTGTAGACTATTAAGTGTGCAATGTCATCGTGAAAATGTTTGAAATACTGTGAGAATTACCGAAATGTGACACAGAGTCGTGACATGAGCACATGCTGTTGGAAAATTGGCACGGATAGACTTGTTTCACTTAAAGTTGCCACAAACCTTCAATTTGTAAAAAAAAAAAAATCAGTGTCTGCCAAGCATAATAAAGGAAAGTGCAATACAACGAGGTATGCCTGTACATAACTGTGATTCATCAAGCATTCTTCAGTATTGGTTAATCACTCTGCTATTGGGCCTAATTTAAAGCAGCTTTAAGTAATTACATTCGGCTGTGGCTTGCCATGTTCTTATCTTGCTATGCCAATTGAAAATTATTTTTTAAAGGGTATCTTAGAATATAATTAAGCCAAGAAATTATTCGTACTGAGAAGTCAAATAAAAGGGCCCTACACTGTGCCAAGCAGTGCACTAATACTGTATTTCATGTATTTAATGAATATGCTCCTACCACCCCTGTTTTACATGGGGAAGCTGTAGGGAAGAGAGAGTTTACTCATAGTAAGGAAACACAGGTACATATTCTTTTAAAATATGTTCTCCTTTTTGCAAATGGTTGAAACACTATATAAGCCACCTTGCCTTTTCCATTTAGTACATCTTGGAGATCTTTTCCCTACCAAAGCAGGGTTGGAACCCAGGTAGTCTGACCAGAGGAGCTCTGGTGGTGCTGTGGTTAAAGCACTGGGCTGCTAACTAAAAGACTGCTGGTTCGAACCCACCCACTATTCTAAGTGAGAAAAACGAGGTAGTCAGCGAGAAAGATTTACAGCCTTGGAAACCCTACAGGACAGTTCTACTTTGTCCTATAGGTTTATTATGAGTTGGAAT